GGGGCGGGGTCAGGGGTATATCATTCGTACGATTTCATATGAATTGGGCAACTCGTAAAATATGTACGATTGAGCAAAAGTGAGTTGGCGGTAGGGTTGGGTACCGTTTGAATTTGACTGATTCTGATTCCGATTCCGATTCATTGTTTCGATTCCGGTTCCTAACGATTCTCGATTTCGCTTGGGTCAAAAAAGTTTAGCTAACCTTGCTAACCAACGGTCTTTCTGAAGGAAATACTCCTACTGTCACAAATACTTGTCACAAATTTTGCATTTTGCATAGATTTCGTTAATTTTTAGAAAAGTGAAGCCACACTTTGGACCGCCGACGTAAGGTACTCATGTTCGACTCGCGTGGTTATGCCAACACTTCCGGTAGACGCTTCTTCGTTGGTGTTGTTCAGCGGTTTATTCTTCCGCTCGGCGGACTGTGAATATCGAAACTAGGAATTGAAATTTTAACTTTTGAACGATTCCGGGAAAAACGAAAAGTTAGTCTCGGTTCCAATCGATACTCGATACCCAACCCTAGTTGGCGGTTGGTTGCAGAGTGAGGTCGTATGAATTGTTACGAATTAGCCACCTCGTAAAATTTGTACGAACTGCCGTGAGATCGGGTTGGATTCCCTCATTGCCATGGTGAAATGGAGTAAAAACGGAGTAAAATATTATGATATTACACAGAGCTTGCGGATGTGTTAAGCGAAACAGGCAGCTGTTGGTCTGCTACTAGTTAAGTGAATCAATCAAGAGAACCCAAAGGTTACATTTCTGGACAAGAGAACATAGCTGATGTGAAACCACTGGTAATGACACAAAGATTGAGAGGTGAGTGGAATAGACAGTGTAGACACTAGGCAAAGAGAACAAGAAGAGACAAGCTGCAACCAGGCTGAAAGAGAAAAGACAAGAGAGGACTGGAGTGGAGAAAAACTGAAAAACAATGTGACAAGAGAAGGAGAGAGAGAAGAGAGAGGATACAAGACTAATTGTTGATTATAGCTTCCTTGTTTGTTTTTGTGCATGTACATAAATCTGTTATGGCAAAGCAAATATTTTAATGCTTGCATGCACTCTTAATACTGAAATAACTGGTATTCTGTCATGACAACTGTTAGAGCATGCTGCTGCAGAGCAAAAACCAAGACTTGCTACTGCCAGTACATTCACTGTGAGCACATGCTGCTGCTGCACATGTAACATACATTAAATAACCCTCCAGCAAAGCATGAGATAAGACATGAGAAAAGTGGGAAAGCCGCTTTTCTCAGAAGTTTCTCAGCCGCTTTAGATTTTGGAGCACAGCTGAAAGAGAGCATTGCTATACATGTGTAAAGCAACTTATCACCCCACACAAGTTAATGGAAGAAATATACAATACAACCGTATACAGTTTACACATGCTGCTGAGTGAGAAAACAAGCTGCTGCTTAGGCAGATATGCATACATTCATATGAACATAGACAAATTCATAATGTAGCAAGTCATGACAGCTCTTTTCTTTTGTGTGTTGTGAGTGACATAAATGCAAGTGAACAGATTATCTAAAAAGAAAAAAAAAGGGCAGGGACTTGGTCCTATCTGTCAGATTAGATGGAGGCAGATCTGAATGCAAGCTTGCAGTCGATTTTAAGAAAGGGCGAGATCAAGTAAATGATTGGAGAAGTCCAGCATCAGAAAAATCTGCTGATTCACCGTAAAAATCGAGTCATGACAAAACAATAAATAAACATGGACGAATCCTTAACAATAAGATCAATGACATGCATTTAGAAAACCAATTCCAAAACAAAATCCAATTCAGTATACTGACTTTAAACTCTTTTACTTAATGAACATTTTATTGCATATTCCTGGGATTACACAATAGAAGCAAATCATCAGAGCACTTTTTTCCTTTTTCTTTTTTTACAGAACCTAATAGTTTTCTCCTTGTTACTTTTAAACAAAATGTAAAAATGGTAACCTTTCTTTTCTGCTTGACATTACTTACAGATAATGTTCACAGATAGCCAAATGACATTTAAGGTATTGTTGTAGCAAATTATCTGGCAAATTATTGTATTAAACAGCCAACTTTTACCATTCAATCAATTCCAAAATCAAGTCATACCCTATACCCTGCTGTATTAATAAATGCATCATCTAAGATTAAGGAAAGAAAATCAGATGTAGACATCAATTCACATTGAATTGACTTTGATTAGGTTATCCTGTTCTGCGGCTCATTATAGAATGAGCTGAACATTGGAAAACTGGAAAGAGACCACAAAGAGAAGTGCAACTCCAACCCAAATCTTCCTCAGCACACTTTGGATTATGTGATGTGATATTAGGGTGACATCCATAAAATCAAAGTCTTTCAAACATTCAAGCTGATTTTTCAAAATTTCACAAACAGTGACCACACTAGCCCACAGTACAGAAAAAAAAAATGTGTTGAAATGGATCTCAGCTTAGACCAGGGTGCTTTCAATCATTTGCTCTTAGTAATAAACTTTAACAATTTCAAAGAAATGATGCCGAAAAAAACAACAACAACAACATCTTCAGGTCACTTGCTAACACTTGTTGTCTGAATAGTGATCGGCATGCGTCTTTGATGTTTGTCTTCCAGACATGGTCTCATTGAAAGCCTGTTAGATTTGAGCACTGCTCCCATACACACTAATCTAACCCTGCAGCGAATGAGCAGGAAATTATTTCCTCACAGCCCTGCTTTACCCCCCGTTGCGCACAAAACCAACCTCTGAAGATGCTCATTAAACATGGTTCACTACCGCTGGGAATGTGCTTAAATTCCATTAAAGTTTGAAGGAGAACTTTAGCATGACTTCGTCATACTCATATTCAAGAGAGAATATGAGTCTGAAACTCCTCCATTGGGCTTTGATTATGAGGCATGTCGTAACCGAACCAGGAAAAAAAAAACCTCTGCACTCAATTGGATAGTCGGTAGACCTACAACCAATCAGAGCAACGCAGTAAGTCAACTCCTTTGCATAGCGCAATTTTGAAATACAGAACGTAGCCTAACTTTATTTATTTTAGAAGTTAAATAACGAGTGTTGCTTCTTTTACTTACTTCTCCATGAGTGCCACCAAAGGAGAAACCACAACGACCACAGGCTTTTCATTATGTCCCATCTTCTTAACGACCGTCAGAGCCAGCTGATAAGTTACACTTTTCCCGAATCATGTAGGAAGGACGCCAAAAATATCTTTCCGATCGACAAATGCCTTGATTGCAGTTCTCTGTTTGTCTATTAAAATGAATGCGCTGTCGATTTATTTTATCATTTTTTGACTGATCATAATTACTCCTCAATGGGTCAAGTCCAGACCGAACTTCCTGACCAAAAAATGTTGTGGGCGGAGTTCGGGCTGGCATCCAGGCTAGGAGAAATTATGTTAACCAAGATACCTACAGTGCCTGTACCAAGTGGATCTTTGACAATTTCCCAGAAAACTAAAAATGTTAAATGGTAGGCCTAGAGAGAAATTTGTTTCTTTAGTACCACTGTTTCATTCTAACTGCTGATAATGACATAACTGCTGTATTAAGAGGGAAAATAGGTTTATTACAATTAATAACATGCATAATTTATGAATTTAGGTTCAACTTAGGTACTTCCCTCCAGAGTAAAGATTATGTCATAATTTACTATCTTCAGCTGAACAAAAAAATAATATATTTTGTTGGTAACCAAGCTAACTTTATTGACCAAATACTACCATTCTATTGACCAAAAAACTAAAATCTCAAAATATACTTTATGTTTCACAGAAGATAATATGGAATGAAGTGTGAGTAAGTGATAATAAAATTTACATTTTTGAGTGAACTATCCCTTTAAGCCAAGTACATTAAGAACAAATATGGATATGGGGACACTATGGAATCTGTTTTAGTAAATTATAAATAAAATATATTGATCTACTACACTTTCCAGCAACAATGCAAAGCATGCAGCTTTTGTATTTTTGAAATTTGTATTGAGCCGGAAGGTTAATATGTGAAATCCATCAAGCTTCATTCATTGACTTCCATTCACATTTTGAATGTTTATGCTGAATGGCTGAACTTAAAGATTACAACCATCAAAGCTGAAGGTCTGCAAGAAATTAGAATAGATGGTATATTTTTATTTTGACATTTGAAATGTATTATTTGTGACCAACAAAAAACATGTGACCTTGTGCGCGACAAAATATACTGTTCACTAAATAGTGTGACGAGACTAAACAAAACCTCTTCACATGTGCTTGTGTTTCTGCTCTTCTCTGTTCGTATGTGTAATGCAAATGAATTGAACACAACAAGGTCTACTCTAGTGACTTTACACTAAAACAAAACAAAAACCATTTTTGGTAACCCAGTCATGTAGATTTAATTATGTCATCGCTGTTATACCTTCTCCTCTAAAATTTGCTTCACCTATTTCATACTATGAATATCAGCATTATTCTAAAGGTCTAAAAAGCCTCATCTCATTTCAGTAATCTAAATCAAGCCAGAGCTAGTTGATGTTATAGTGACAATGGTGACAATGCTAATAGGTTTTCTCCACCTCGGATCAGGAAAGGATTGTTACAATGCAATTTTCAGTTAGCCCCACACCTTATTGACTCAACGTGAGAGTTGCTGCCAGCTGTTCATGTAGACATCTCACAACAGAGGTGCGAGCCTTAATGATTATATGATTAGTGACAGGGGAAAATCAATGACCCCAGAGAAGAAATAATGATCCCGTTAGATTTATAGAGACATGAACATAATAAGCAGGAAGGACATAGCCTAAATGCACCACACACACACACACACACACACACACACACACACACACACACCTATATTTTTTTTAAATGGTTCCAAAGTAGATACAAAAACCGGGTAGTTTCCACTTCAAATTGGAGATGGAAAAAAGTAAAAAGTAGAAATAGCATCCAATTAACCAGCACAAGACATGACAGAAAGGACTAAATAGCAGGTACTCACAGTAGGTCTTTCTGCACAGCTCTTCCACTACTTCAGGCTTTAGTTTACTGCTGGATTTTCCCATCTCTCCAGCTGGTCACAACGGTTTATCCTCACTCCCTAATTCACTCCCCCCAATCCCACCTTCCACTTACATTGAGAAAAGGAGAGAGAGAGAGAGAGAGAGAGAGAGAGAGAGAGAGAGAGAGAGAGAGAGAGAGAGAGAGAGAGAGAGAGAGATAGAGAGAGAGAGAGAGAGAGAGAGAGAGGGAGAGAGAGGAGAGAGAGATTGAGAGAGAGAGAGACACAAAGTCCTTTTGAATCGTGCCTTTCCTTCAGACCGCAGCAGTGTAGGAAGGGCAAGTAATTGAGAGGAGCAAATTACACAGAAGCGGTGTGACTACAGCATGCAATTCCTAGAGTTGTCTCTCCTCACTCGGAGGGAATGAAACAGAGAGAAAGAGAGGGCTTTAATCTGTCAACCGGTGTCCCTCCTCCCCTTTCCTCCAGTCAGTGTCTGCGGTTTCCTCGAGACCAGGAGAGCCACTCTTCAGTTGGGTGATCGCTGCTGTCTGGCTCGGTCCACCTTGAGGAGGAATCGATTCACTAACTGAGTCCGACATGCAGACGCAATTGTTCTCTCTCTCTCTCTCTCTCTCTCTCTCTGTGTGTGTGTGTGTGTGTGTAGGGGCGTGTGTTGTCACCACAGTTTGTGTTGATGCTGTTGTCATTGACAACAGAAGCCACTCCCATTAGTGCTCTCGGTCCTGAAAATATCATATTGTTCTGTCATATTTCCATGTGACAAAGACTTTTTTTCTGTCTCAAATTTGGTTTCTTTAAAAGGCCTTGACAAAAATCTAAAACTTTAGATTTGACCATTAGCTATATTATTATTTTGGTAAAATTGTGTAATCCAAATGGTTGGAAATTGTAACAAAAAAATTCCAATTATCTATATTTAACAAAGGCTAAAACATCTAAAAAAAAAATAAAAAAAAAATACATAATCCCAAAATAGGATTACAGTTGAGATAGTGCAGCTGTACAGAGTATAGAGGCTCATACTCTGTCATATTGTGACAAAGCCACGGCTATAATCTGCTGGCCCACTTTAAGTCCAGGCCAATTCACTCCTCATGGGAGGTTTAGTTTATGCAGTGCTATTAAAGCATCAGAAAGAGAGAAAGGTGAGTGTTTGAATTTTGCCTCTAAATAAAGAAAGCAGAAACAGAAGACGAGGACGCTGAGTCAGCTTCAAGCTGCTCCATAAACACCCAGCGGCCTTTGACATCAGCATCACCTGCTAAAACACTTCAATTTGTATTTGTCCTTTTGCTAAAAACCTTTTTTTCTCAGCAATGGTGACTGGTTATTGGTAATTTTTTTCATTTAGGATAAAACTTACAATATTCAAAAAATATATATTTTAGGGAACTGATAGTAAATACAACATATTGTTGTGCACCATGTTATCATATACCACAGAGATAACAATGTAATGAGGTAATAATTAAGTACTGTATTCAGTATTCAGATACCATGGTGCCACCCGTACCTTTTGTAAAAGCATCTACAGTTTATCAATTTCATCTCAGACCTCTATACAATTAAATACACAAAGAAGAACAGACTCTGTGACATATTGTGATAAATTTAGGTGCCTCAGAGCATCAATATAGCAAAGTTCCAAATCAGGACCATTCTGGAATTTAAAAAAAAAAGAAAAAAAAAAAAGAAAATACTTTGGAAGGTGGAAGAGGCATATAAATAACATCTAAGCAAAAGGGAGGAAGGAATTGATTTACAGATTGGGGCATTGCACAGCAGGAGAGCGGACTGGAAAGTAGCCAGTGTTTAAAAAAGGCACTTTTGAGCAGCATATTTTGTAAATTTCAGGTAGAAAAAAAGTGTTTTATCTAAATAAATGACATGCTGTACCAAGCATTTGCACTACTTTGTAAAATGATGTAGGCCTATGCTATATTTGGTAACATTTATGCAATCTGCTGGTATCTCAAAAGAGACTTTTATGTTAGATGCTTTCCTTTTAATAAAAGGTTACGGGAGCCTTTTTCTAGTGAAGTTTCTCTGGCCCAGAATACAAATTGCTCAGTGGAGTATAATTAAGTCAAAGTGTCCACACCACTGATGATGAGACCACAGACCACATATGTACACCGAAGATATGTGATTTAACATTGTGAAAGTTATTTAGGACTGCTTTTGTTCTTAGTCATTGTATTCAATACACAGCCAGATAATGTGTTTCCTCATTCAGTGAACTTGCCACTTTTCAGACTTTGCAAATGTGATTTTGCCAGTGTGCCAATGCTTTTAACAGTTAAATAAATAAGAAAAGATCAAGTAACTTACAATTCAGACACTCTTTGCTCCGCCAATTAAAATATTTATATCCAAACGACACACAGTAGTGGTGTTAGAACAAATCGCTCGAGTGAATGATTCCATGAATCCTCCAAGATAGTGCACTTCTTGCTATCAATGTCAATGTTTATAAAAAATGGTTGATTGAATGATTAAATGACAAATTTCAGTGATAGCTACTTTGTGCCATAGGCGTAATGATGTTGTAGCCTAAAGAAAGTATCATATGAAGACCGCTCAGCCAATCAAATTCGAGGTCCACAAGGAATATTTACAATTTAATTATAAATATACAATATGATACGTTGATATACGATATACAATTTAATCTTTTATGAATTCCTTGAAATGTTCCTTTTTATATTTAAAATAACCACAAGTCCCATTTTGACAATATATGTCAGTATATGAGTTTGAAACTTACATCCAGAAAATTGTGATTGTGTTACTCAAAACTCTAAACCTGAGGCATTTGTTTTAATTTACTTGTGTTTGGCTAACTGTGTTAATGTCACCGGTGCAGGCCGGGGTGAGCACCAGATGACCGGTCACACCCCTAACTTGCACCCCACCGTGAGGAGCCGACACTGCTGGTACACAACAGACAGACAGAAAACAGTGGAGTACAGTATAAAGTTCTTTCTCTATGTAAAACTCTGATTGTAGAATGTCGCTCTGTGGGCAAGTTCTTTTGTATCAACTGGAATGACGGCCAAAATAGCCAGCGTACTGTTCTCTGCGGGACTCAGGCTAAGAGAATGGAGATAAGTTTTAGAATTAGATTTTAAATTAGATTTGTTTTTGTTTGTTTTTTGTTTTGTTTTTTGTTGTTGTTGTTTTTTTGTTTGTTTCTTGTTTCTTTTTGCACTGTATGACTTAACAAACATTTTGTCTGCCTTGTACTTTTGTGCCATTGCCTGAAATAAATAATAATAAAAAAAAAAGAAAGAAAAAAGTTGTTCACCAGTGTAACTCTTCTCTTCAGGGCTCAGGCAGAATGAATGGAGGTAAGTTGCTCACCAGCGTAACACATCTCTACAGGGCTCAGGCAGAGAGAATGGAGGTAGGTTGTTCACCAGCGTAACACATCTGGGCTCAGGCAGAGAGAATGGAGGTAGGTTGTTCACCAGTGTAACTCTTTTCTTTGGGGCTCAGGCAGAGAGAATGGAGGTAAGTTGCTCACCAGCGTAACTCTTCTCTTTGGGGCTCAGGCAGAGACAATGGAGGTAAGTTGCTCACCAGCGTAACACATCTCTACAGGGCTCAGGCAGAGAGAATGGAGGTAGGTTGTTCACCAGTGTAACTCTTCTCTTTGGGGCTCAGGCAGAGAGAATGGAGGTAAGTTGTTCACCAGCGTAACACATCTGGGCTCAGGCAGAGAGAATGGAGGTAGGTTGTTCACCAGTGTAACTCTTTTCTTTGGGGCTCAGGCAGAGAGAATGGAGGTAAGTTGCTCACCAGCTTAACTCTTCTCTGCGGGGCTCAGGCACAGAGAATGGAGGTGATTGAGTGGTTGCTCCACTCAATCAAACTCAATCCAAGCGCTCTCCAATCAGTGCTTCTCAGTCATCTGGAAAGCCTGAGTCTCATGGTCAACTGGACCAAGAGCTTGTTACTGCCCAGCCAGTCGATTTCCTTTCCAGGAATAGAACTGGACTGTGGCTATGATGGCTCGTTTGTTGAGACAGCGCACGCGCTGTGTTTGACGCCTGCCGGTTTTTTCCAGAAGGGCAGCATCGTTTCCCTGAAAATATTTCAGAAGATTTTGGGTTGTATGGCCTGATCCGCTGCAGTGCTCCAGCTGGGCTTATTGTGCTGAGAGTTGCACATGTGTCTGAACAACGGCCCAGACAGACTGTCCAGGGACATTATTCCCCTGGGGGAATGGTTCCTCAACCCCCCTGGCCGATTCCGGTGAGGGCGGCTGGGCCATATTTGGGCTAGACGATTACACAATCCAGAGCTCCCTCTGCTAGAAAGCTTTATGCGCCTAAATGGTATGTGTTTCCCAAATGGTGCACTGAGAAAAATCTGGACCCACGTACGCGTGGGGTTTAGCACTTGATTAGTGTCCTCCAAGAGCTGTTGGATAAGGGGAGGTCCCCCTCCACACTTGAAGTCTATGTTGCGGTCGCTGCAGCATTCGCAGAGTTGACGCACAGCCGATCACTAGGAAGGAACGAGCTTGTCATCCGCTTCCTTATGAGCCAGGAGGATGAACCCCCCGCACCCCCCCTCGGTTCCTATGTGGTATCTTTCTTTGGTTCTCAAGGCCTTGAAAGCACATCCCTTTGAACCGTTAGATTCCATGAGTCTAAAGTACCTATCACTTAAACCCGTTTTTCTGACCGCTGTCATCAGTCAAACGCGTGGGATATCTACATGCGCTGTCGGTCAGCGCTGCATGTCTTGAGTTTGGGCCCAGTGATTCTAAAGTCATCCTCAAACCTAGACATTGTTATGTCCCAAAAGTGATTTGCACTCCGTTCAGAGCGCAGGTCATCTCTCTATCGGCTCTGCCAGCATCCGATAGCGAGAGCGATGTTAATCTCCTCTGCCCGGTCAGGTCACTGAGTGCTTACATTATTACGTGCTCTACCCCCTTCAGGCACTCGAAGCAGGTCTTTGTTTCGTTCGGTGGGCGCACCAAAGGTCTCACCACCTCGAAACAAAGCCTGTCCAGATGGATAGTGGACACTGTTGCAGCTGCTTATGCAATGCCCTTTGGGCGTCAGGGCACATTTCAGTAGAGGCATGGCCTCGTCATGGGCATGGTCCTGCAGAATTTATATTCATGACATATGTGTGGTGGCGGGCTGGGCCTCCCCATCCACCTTTGTTAGGTT